TGCAGGTTTCTCACACCTTTCACAACACCTTCCTCTCTTCTCTACTCTTTTCTAAGTTCTTGAAGTGCTCATTTTTAGTACGTTTTGCTCGGTTTCTTGTAATTATTATCTTTAATATCTTATGGAAAATGGGCAACCCATTAGATGTGTGTTATTAATATATTTTGTCACATTTGATCCTATATAATTTGATATTTTTAAAATACAAATAAAATATAGTATAACAATTAAGTTTCACTTAATTTTTACTTAAAAAATACTTGATCTACATTTGATTTTTTATAATTAATTTCATGCTTTGTAATACTTTGAAGATATTTTCAGTTCATACTCTGAGTATAAGGAAAGAAAGTAGCAATAATGCAGAGCTTCACTGTTACTGTCATGTATTCTCGTCTTCAAAATAATCCATTAAATCTTCAAATTCATCCAGTAAACAGTTAAATTACACAATTTTATTACCACACTTCATAAAAAATAACTATTAATAATAATCATACATCAAGTAGGTGATAAATGTTTGTCCCATTTTTGTGTCTTTATTTTGAGTTTATTTTCTTTTTATTTTCGCCACTTGTAGGATTTTCGTAATTTATTTGGTCCAATTCGGTGGTTTTGTGCTTTTCTCTTAAGTTTCTATTTGTGCGTCTTTTTGCCTTGTTTTGCTTCGTGTTTTTTATGTGTTTGTGTTTTCAGGAGGTAGGTTGTGCTGGTCGAGGATGAAATTGTTGGAGCCGAGACCGTGATACCAAGAATACCCGTTGCTGAGCACAGAAAGTTGAAGGAAGGACCGAAAAAACAGACTGAAGAGCGCACCCAGCATTTTTCGCGACTCATGAGATGATCGCGACTCGCGAGAAGTACAGAGACGAAGAGACGAAGCTCGCGAGACGAGTCGAGACTCGCGAGTCAAGGTCGCGACTCGCAAGATAAAGCCGCGACTCGCGAGTTAGGTCGTGATTTTCCCCAGAAGTTGAAGATATATGAAGACGCGTGACTCGCGAGGAGTCGCGACTTGGAAAAACGTTAAGTCGTGACTCGCGAGATGACTGGCGCAAATTTCGAGGCGCGGGTTTTTACATCAGAATTAGGACCTAGGGATCATTATTCACTTCCATACTTCGTTTTTACGCTTTTTCTCTCTAGAAACTCATTCTTTTTCATGCTTTTTCTCTTTTGATTGGATTTGGAGATTGAAAAACTCCTTTTTTCTCGCTTTGGATTTGGATGCTTTTAGATTTGACATTGGATTATTTACATTAATCGTAAGTTACTCTTTTCTCAATTGTGTGTTGATGATGATGGCTTGGGTTAATATGAAATGTGAGATGATTGATTAGGTTCGATTATGATTGCTTGTTCTTAATTGTTCATATCTATTCGAGTTGTGCTTATTCTAGAGTTAGTAGACTGATCACCTTTCTAACCTAATCAATAAACGTGTAGAACCGAGAGGGGAGACGTTTGTCAATTTAGGCTCATTTAGGATAGACTTGTTTGGAGACATATTGTCTATGTGTTGTTGGAACTGATAGTTGATAGTGTACGTTCACTCTCTTGTACGAAGAGTTATTGAGAGTGAGCCTCTGGACGAGAAACGACTCAAGTCCTTTAACCGAGCAACTGATTGCCGGTAGCTGTGTTAGAACCGAAAGCAGTTATCCCCGATTCCCTAGCTCTTTAATCACTCAGTGAATCTATTCTGCTATTTAATTGCTTTTCATTAGCTCTAATTTCTTAGTTGATAATTGAAACCCAAAAATTATTGAATAGAGTGTTTAGGATTTTCTCTTTTCATGATCGAATAATCGTACAATTGAATCCGGTTAACCTTCCTTGCGATACGACCCAGGGAACGAATCTTTCGATTCTACTCCGGTAAAAAATACTGACAACAATAAACAATGAAAACTAAAAATTCAGTTGTAGAAAAACAAACTTTTGGTGCAAACGTCTGAACTGCATATAAGCCTCACGTTCAGACATTTCATAGGCTTCCAAGCTTTGTGTATTTACGTTTCTTAGGTGTTGCACCTTATAAACTGGACGCGGGCTTTCGAATTAGACGTTTCATGGGCCATGTAGCTTGAAATTAAAAAGTTTACTCATTATGTAAGCTTAGCAAGCAGAAGTTTAGGCCATGTTCTAGCTTTTACCTGGGATATTCATTGAACGAACTTAAACTCCAACCTACATCTATTATCACTTTATTTATACCATCCTAATTAACCCATCATATTTGTTTAATGCAAGATATATGAAGAGGGTTTAATGATCTAAGTCCTAAAATTACTCAAACGCTCAAAAATCAAGAGACCTATTTGTGAATGAAAATCAATGTAAAAAAGTTAGGAGTTAACACATTGTTTATCTCATTTGCAAGTGTTACCAGTGATGTTGGATTACTAGATATGTGGATTAGTGAACAATAATGTGGAGATTGGTGAGTTGATTTTTTCTGAAGAGGAAGAACGGGATTAGTGGAGATGTGGATTTTTGTAAAAATGAGGAAGAAGGAAATTGGTGAAGACGTGGATATTGGTAAAAGTAGATCAAATTTTGGGGCAACAAATAGCAATTAGAGAAAATAATAATTTGGGCTAACAAATATAATTTCAACTAGGCAAAATTAGTCCCGTTGGTTTGATCCAGTGACCTTTTTAGTCTTACGAATTGAACTTTTTTGTTATTTGGTCCTATGATTTTAAAAATCAATGCAATTTCAGTCATTTGAGATGGAAAAACAACAAAATTTTAAATTACATGACTTAAATTGCTCATAAAAGATCTTTTGGATGAATTATTTATTAGCAATTTAAGTCTTGTAATTTGAAATTTTGTTGCAATTTCAATCCTCGAAAGACTAAATTTGCAGCAAAATACTAAATTACATGATCAAAAGACAAAAACTTAAAATCTTGAGACTAAAAATACTACACCGTTAAACAAACAGGACTAAAAAATGCAATCTTGCCTTTTAATTATTATTTTTTTCGGCTAACAAATAGCAATGCCCGCTTGTAATCGTAGACTCGTAGTACCTTTTGGACGCTGGGAAAATTTTGTAGCAACTCTGCAAGCAAACACCACATTGGAGGTGAGGGTTTCTTTCGGCCACCCATCATCTTCTCTCTTCTGTTATCTCCATTATTATCGAACGCCAAAGGTAGTAAACTGTTGTAGAGGAATTTTGTTTTCGGTGCGTTTCAGTGATCAATTGAAATTATTTTCGTCTCAAATCAATTGGGAAGTTCTCGCTCTCGCACGGGAGGGTTTTCAGTACCCGTTTGCTATCCTTCAGTTTATCGTGCACATCTTTGTATGAGGTTCTGTTATATGCTTGAGTAGTGAGATTTAATTGGGGTTTATATGTTTTGTTGAATTCATGACTGCGCCTTTGTGTGCTCGAATGTAATCCTAATTTCTCCACTGTAGTTTCCTTCTGATTTGCAGCTGTTTCCACCAATTCAGTATTCTAGTTTACTTTTTCGAGTCTTCAGAAAGTTGTAGCTCAGTGTCTTGGCTTCCGATGCCCTAAAAAAATTAAACTTTCGTGCCCATTTGTGTTCCATAATTACGAACTGTGCGCAGCCCCATGCAACCAAACACGACCCATGTTCACCTCACACGACATGCCCCTTGTTATTGGGCGTATTTCAGGACCCTCATTAAATAATATCATGTCTAATTTTGATTGTGCGCTCTTATCGTAGTTCCCCTTGTTCTCTCTCATTCATACTCATTCAAGGTTTTGAAACTTAAACCGCCATTCCCAAAGTGTTATTGTGGTAGTGGTTTTTCGATTAGACCAGTGATTTAATGAATAAATACAGGTGTTTTTCTCAATGTCAAGATCCTCTCGTGGAGTTTAGGTTCCTATCTACCACCCCCACCATGTTGCTTGCTCGGCACCTGTACTGTTCGTTCTGTATTTCACGATGTATTTTGGGGAGTTGGTCCATCACTATCCGAAAGCCCCGCATGTTGATCAAGACATTATCGCTTGTTTTCACTAACCAAGTTCTATTTTTGCCTAATTGAATTTCTGTGTTATTATATTTTATTTCTTTCCTTGTTAAGATTAAAGTTAATCCTAGACCATGAACCAGCATATGTTGCCAGCATATGTTATTCAGCCATCACTGATATAAAATTTGATTTGGTGATTGTTGTTTTGTTTGGTCTTGATGAGTTGCAAAGGAGCCTTTCTTTTCAGCACATATTGTTACAAAGATAATATTTGATTGTGTTTCTGTACAAAATTGATAATACAAAGCTTTTATATACATACATTTATCAACCACTTTTAAATTGATTCTACAATTTTCAATAATGATTAATAGTTTGGTAATCAGTTATGGCTGGTGGAGAAGAGGAATCAATTGAAGCTGCAGCTTTGGCACGCAGAGAGAGGCTGAGAGCACTTAAAGCTGCTCAGGAACTCCTCAACACACCCGATGAAAATGCGGGACATGGTAACAATCAGAGACCGCGAGAGCAGCTGGAGCATGAAAAAGATGAAGATGATAATGAAGATGACAATGACGAAGAAAAGGCGTAAGGGTCCTTGTCCAATTTTCCTATTACTAATTATCTACTTGAAACTGTTTTCCCTTCCTTGCATAGTTTGCCCTGTAGTTAATTGCTAGCTAGGTCAATTTGATCTTTTGTCTTAGCATAAAGTAAAAATTGAGCGATCCTGGTTGAGATTTGTTGACTTTTCCCTTTTCTTTTCTGTAAATCAGCTCCCCCTTTGTTTTCTGTTGTCTGGCTGCTTTACTATTCAGTGATTTATGCTGCCGCCAGAGACAGCAACAGAGATATTTCCGGTGGTGCTGCCGGCAGCCCTTTCTTTTTACTCCGTCTTCTTCTTCTTCTTTTTTTTTCTTTTTTT